TATCAGATGTGGGCCTACATCTATCAAGCACGTAACCTTCTCGCCATGGACGAAAGTGGGATGAATGGTAAAGGAAATATACGAATAGCTTTTTTAAACGTAGAGAATTTTCCATTTTATATGATTCAATGAGTCATTGACATTGACATATATATAAGCTTGATTCTTTTGTTTTCCTCAAACATTTTATATGATTCAATGAGTCATTGACATATATATAAGCTTGATTCTTTTGTTTTCCTCAAACATTTTATATGATTCAATGAGTCATTGACATTGATATATATATGAGCTTGATTCTTTTGTTTTCCTCAAACATCAGATTCCTACGTCCGCGTGGCATTTTGCAAGCAAAGCGCTGTAACAGAGGTGCTGACCCAGACTTTATGTCCCACCTGGGACCAAACGCTCATATTTGATAATGTTGAAATCTATGACAGCGTGGAGAATATCGCCAAGAGCCCACCAAGTGTAGTGGTAGAGGTTTTTGACAAGGACACAGTGGTAAGTTTAGATGTAATAAAAGTAATAAATAAAGTTGGGATTCCTAGAATCATATCAATGGTGAGAAATAGGTTTTTTTGTGCAGATATTTAGTTATAATATGAGGAGACTACTGAATTAAACTTTTATGCCGTTTGTAATGGTTTTGTTTGATAATTTGCCGAGAAAATCTTGAGGTTTGAAGTAGGTTGTGTGTGATAATTTTTTAAGATAAACACGCAGCGTTTTACTTCATCTCGAGGATTATAATGACAGAAGAAGCTTTTTTTTTGAGGAGCTCAGGCGAGGGGCATTTCACTGAGAAGTGCTTTTATTTATTTTTGAGTTTTTTATCCATCTTTAAATATATAATCGATGAGACATCTCGTGCTAAGCTTTCACTTGTATATTGATGGCTGTTTCATGACATGCGCAGGGCAAAGATGGCTTTCTCGGCCGCTGTGTGATGTCACCTACGGTGCGTCTACATGGACACGAAACTCCTGAGCCGCAACTGCAGTGGTTCACCATCAAAAGAGGAGACGAGGAAGGAGGCGATATTTTAGCTGCTTGCGAACTTTTCCTTGTAAGAGTCTCATTTCTTTTTTGTGCTCCCCCGGCGTTCTCTTGCATTGCGCACAGTTACGTTTTTTTCAGGAGTGTCATCTGTTTATCTCTTTCGGAATTCGCTCTATGTTAACGAGCCAATGCTAAGGTATGAAGCGGTTTCATCGCCAATGTGATGTGGGGCCTCCAGGGAGGCTTACAGCCTTGCTATGTGTTGGCACTCAATTACTGGAGCATAGACAGCTGAAGTACCCGAAAAATACTAGATGCTCACTTCTCAGGGGCGCGTGGTTATTAGGAGTCTCCAAGGGTTAACTGATTGTCATAAAACGGCCAGAATTGTCTGCCATTAGACGTAAAAATGAATAAATTTTAATAGTTAGTCTTAAAAAAAAGTTAAAAAAAGGGTAAAAGTCCCTTTAAATAATTTGCAATGTTTTGTTCATATTTTAAAATTGCAGTGTAGGGAAGGTATCAGGGAATCGGATTTACGAGGTATTTATCTCTTATTTTTAGGATGAAGATGCGGAGTTACCCTTCATCCCACCCATGAGAGGAGACTTGTATACCGTGCGAAGCGGTGTGCGCCCAAAGTTAGAACGGTCAGCGATTGAGGTCAGCAATCGATGTTAGGGGTACCACTTTAATTTTAAGTTGTTGTTATTTGAAAGAGAAATAATTTTGAAATATCCACAACTTGACTTAATCTCATTATTTGTTGGAACACTTTTTCATGTTACTCGACTTACTCTATCTCGCAAAAGCATTACAGGCCTGCAGAACTGTCGTCCTTTACCCACTGTCATTTACAGATCTTGTGTTGGGGAGTGAGGAACATGAAAAAGTTTGAACTCACGAGCGTGACGTCACCAAGTATTGAGTTCGAGTGTGCTGGAGGTCTGGTGCAGTCTGACGTCATCAAGGATATAAAGAAGAACCCGAACTTTGAGAATCCTGTTTTGACAAGAATGATTGTGGTATTTACTACAACCTATCTTGAATGGAGAAACTTTGTGTTTTAATCTTGCCTGGGTTAGCAGTTGTCTCATATGTATAACAACCGATTTTCTGAAGAAAAAATGTTAGGGAAGGTATTGAAGTGTCTGACATCAATTTATACCTTTTTGGGTACGTTGACCCTTTTCACAGTTTCGGAGCCTTTTGGTATATCCTTTATGCTAAAACGATGCGAGAAAACTGTTTTTTTTTTGTTACTGAAAAAAAAAGAATACATCGAGAGAAGCAAAACAGGAGCTATTTGAAAACTGGTAATTTTGTAAACGCTGTCTTTGGCATCGAGAGCTGTAAAAGACCGAATACGGTGTTTTAAAAAGAGCAAAAAAAAAAAAAAATCTACCATCAGCGTTTTCAAGAATTTTGATCGGGAAGGTAAGCGAAATCGTATCAAAAAGTATGCGTTTTGAAGTCGAAAATTGCATTGGTACGATAATTCTTTTGAATTGCATTTGCGAGGAAAGAAGGAAATAACATGGTGAAAACGTTATTGTGACTGAAAATATTTTTCTGTTATCAAAGTGATAGCAGGTCAGTAATTTTGTAAAGGCTCTAATGTGGACGGGACCCTGCAGGTCGGTTTCAATTCAACATAATGCTTGACCGTCAGCACTATCACGTTTACTAACTTTACACCGTCTATATGCGGTTCACGAATAAAAAACTTAGTTCCTTCATAAAAGCTTCTAAGCCAGTACTTTTATGATTTTTTCGTTGACAGAATCTTCC